ACCTGCACTTTGAAGCACGCGCGTAACGCCACGCACCTTACAGGTACAGGTCTGGTTCTGGGCGGCGATCTGTTCTTGCTACTATGACTGTTTCGCAGAAAGAGATGTTTTCCAGTTCCCCTCGCTCCGCATCACAGCCAGAACCTAAGCTGGACGTGGAAGATTATCGTCTTCGATCACTTCCCTGAAGACACGGCGGTGGTCAACGTATACAGGGCATAATGCTACTCTATCCTTTGGGTGGACTTCGCTGTGATGACACCAGAACACAGCTGGAGGATATGCCCCCTACTGCTGAATTCTGATATCGGATGCGACGCCTGATACTGTAGGTGGACTTTTGCATCTTCGGTCTTGATGCCCATCAGATTTTAGAATATGAACGCGTAAAGATATCGCAGAATTGGTGATGCTCTTCATGTATTAGCGTCTGTTGTCACCAAGTATTAGCTATAACTAAGTTTACCCTATAGGTGACCTTTATAAATTGGAAAACCAAATACAAATCAGGTATAAATGTTTTAAAAATATACTACAGATGTGCCCATTGTCCCCATACGGGGACACCATCGTTTTTTCTAACTTTCCCCTAAGCGGAATTAAAAGTATAAGGATATTCTTCAATATTGTTTTAATTGACACTATAAGCAAGCAATAATCACAAAAAAGTTTTGTAAATCTTCATAATAACGTACTACAAAACGCCTCTGCTTTCGATAATAATTCCCATTTCACTTCCTCTTGATAAAATTGACAATATGACCCCTTTTTTGTAGCAATTTGTCAAAAGTTCTAATAATTTTAGGAAAGTACACTACTCCTCATTATAAATACCCATGAAATGTGAAGTTAGCTAAAATAATTAATAACCAGCGGGTAAAAGAAAACCTGTCCCCATATGGGGACGGCGGATCCAAATGGGTTAAAAACATTGCTTCACACTAGGATGTTGTCCTATGCCGTGAGTGCGTTTACAAACATACAAGTTCACATACACATGACACCCAGACCCGAAGCAACAAACTGTTGATCACACAAAGAATTGTTACGTGCGGGAATTCAACCCACGACACATTTTTCACGGCATCCAGCTGCCCAGCCACCACGCCGACCGTGCAGTCAATATTTTGAAAAATGGAAACAAATTATTTTATCAATTTCTTTACTAACTCTAGAGCGTTATTTTCTTAATTAAATTGTTTAACAAAAGACAGTATTTAACGCTTCATGTACACCTGTACATTGTACTGTATTCCCTAAGTACTGAACCAAACTAGAAGTACTTGTATGTTCCAGAAGTTTCGACTGAATTGAAGTTGAACTAAAGTAGTTTTCGTAACACGTTTAGTTTCTACAAGAAATACTACCTACTAACATCGCGTTTCATATAATCCGAAACGAGGTTTCCACAACTTTATCAATTTTCAATGTAATATGCTTAGAAACTGTTATATGTACCTCTATATGTTTATGTTATCTGTGGCAAGCTGGCCACTTTCAATAGGGAAACCTATTTAAATTCTTCTTTTGTTTTTTAAAATGTATGAGTGTGTTTCTGACTAGCTTGTTTAATTTACACGATAAATAAAATAATTTGATATATATTGAAAAAATATATCAGAAAATCATTATACCTAGGTAGTAGGTACTTAATTAAGTATGTCTATATTCTATAACTAGTTTTTTTCATGCGGCTTCACTCGCCTGGTATTTAGATTACTTTAACCTCGTTGGCAGAGTGGTCCCAAGTGCGACTGCCGGACAAAGGGTCTCGGGTTCGATTCCCGGGTCGGTCAAAGCATTACTGGGTTTTTTTTAATTGTCAGTAGTAGCACGAAGTCTGGAATTGTGCCCGGTATATGACAAAGACTCACCCCTATTACATGGGGCTCATAACATAAACAGTGAAAAGTCGGTGTTACATTGTATGGTGGCATAATGTGCACCTTTGCCGACCCCTTCGGAGATAAAAGGCGTGATGTTATGTTATGTTTAAGGTTGGTATCAAAAATATCGGAATAACAATTTCCTATTTTATATTATGAAAGAGAAATTATCCATTCGCAAAATAATTTTAAATATCGGCAAAGTAAATACCTACACAAACATTCGAATATATTCTCTGCACATTGATATAAAACGTAGACATAAATAAAACCTCAGTAAAGTATTTTAATAACTTCAACCAGTTTAAATAAAATTTTAATTATAATGCGTAGTTGCTAAACATAAATATAAATTTCTATTTTCATTTTTAACTTTGCAACTGGAAGTTAAACAACTCCAAACAAAGTTTAAAAAGGTAACACAAATGAAAAACTTTGTGACGTTTTTTTTTTATAATTTTTAAATGACATTTTCGAACGAATTGCTGGTTAACAAATATGAATATAGATTAAAATATGTATATTTTCTTTGAATAAAGAACACATGTCGATCTAAAATTATTCATTTTAAAATGGACGAAGTTTGTTTGATATTTAAATAGGGGAATCTACATACATATTTTAAACCTCCGGATAGTTTTTGAATTACGTAACACCTACTCTTTATCCTTATGAAGGCATATTAAATGAATATAATAAGATAATTTTAATTGTGAAAATATGGAACCTTAAAATAATAATTTATTTCTTATCTATATTTTCCCAAACGATTTTAAATCTAAACGAATTCAAATTATGTTCTTTAATAATAATTACAACATAAAAACCTCTTTGGTAGCTACGAACAACGCGGGAATTCAAAATAAGAAAAAAAAACATTTTTAAAACGTTCTAAATACAAATAGCAATCATTCCGATCGAGCGGGAAAATAAAATACGTTATCTGTCAAAAGAAGAAAGCTTCAAGTTTCCTGATTAGGGAAAATGTGTTTTTTATAAACCTCACAAGTCACGAGTCACCGTTTGGTGATTGGAAAAGGAAACCTATTTATTACGTGGTTCCTTTACCATCAAATTTAGTCACAATTGTGTTGTTTTATATAATATTATTTTTCGTTAAATGTCTTTTGTTCTTACCTTTTGATTTAATGACCAAGAATACTTGGTTGACGAGCTTTAAGATTACTTTATTCGTATTGAATAATTCTGCATATTCTAAGCCTAATTTAACAGAAACGACCTGGATGACCTTACATTATTAACTTCACTAATAGAGATTAGTGAATTCGTATGTCGCATTCCATGGCACACGACGCGTCGACTGTCGCGCTGCTTTATTCATTGAAAGTTGTTCATGTATATAAGTCTCTAGAACATTTTGAAACTAGACGATTTCCTCGTCAAAAAGTTACGTGTGTAAGCCAAAAATATAATATCTAATTAATCTTTAAACTAATCTTATATTATACTTATTATACTTATTATATAAAGCGGAAGAGTTTGTTTGTTTGTTTGAACGCGCTAATCTCCGAAACTACGGGTCCGATTTGAAAAACTATTTCTGTGTTGGATAGCCCATTTATCGAGGAAGGCTATAGGCTATATAATATCACGCTACGATGATTACGCGCCGAGCAGAGCGAGTGAAACCGCGCGGAAGTAGCTAGTTCAATATAATAAGTGAGAAATGATTGTTACATACAACCTAAAAACATACACATTATCTTATGGTTTCAGTATTCCACCTGTGTTTATTTAATTTCTAGGAAAACCAGAAACAATGCCTTGTTCCACAACAATTGTTTGTGTATTCGAATTTCAGGTAATGCTACCTGAATCTCTTTTAAAACCGTTGTTTATATGGAATTTCTCAGTAACCAATCAGAGACACGTGTAGTGTCATTGTCCACATTTGTCAGAGTGTGACATTAATTAGCACGGGAACTTAAGTATATAAAATAACATCACATCTTTTACCCCCGAATTGGTAGGCAGACGTGCACATTACGGCACTTAATGCGACTGTACAATGTAACACCTACTTTTCACTGTTTATGTTATGTGTCCTATGTAATAGGGGGTGAGCCTATTGCCATATACCGGGCACAATTCCAGACTCCGTGCTACTACTGAGACTTAAAAAAACCAGTAATGCTTTGCCCGATCCGGGAATTGAACCCGAGACCCCTTGCCTGGTAGTCGCGCTTGTGACTACACAGCCAACGAGGCAGTTGAAGTACCTATATGATAATAATTGGTTGCGATATTCTAGATGTTCATCAATTTATTTATATTATTAGAATAATGATGTATGTACCTATTATGAGATTATAGTATAATGAGATCAGAACCTTATTCTAATTTAAATTGTAGGCTCAAAAAATGGTAGTAATTAACGTACAAGATGATCATTTCAATTAAGGTACTTATTCTTTAATATATTTATTAATGTACTAGCTGAGCCCGCAACTTCGTCCGTGTGGAATAGTGATTCAAAGCTCCTGTCCCGTAGTTGATAACATTATAATATGTAGCCTATATGTTGACCAGACAGAACAACAGACAAAAATTCTAAAAAAACATATTTTTGGTTTCATTATCGACTGTAGATCATGCCCCAAGCATTCATTAAAAAAATATTCGACCTACATTTTTCATTTTCCTACGATTTTATTATACGTATAGATAGATTAATATAATACATGTTTAATTCATAAAACCTTATGTTACAATGTATTATATTGTATTACATTTACACAAATTTATACTTAATGTTCATAAAGCTTTTTAGATGTCGCGATAAAATTAGAATAAAGTTTTAGTACCACTATACATAAATTAAAAATAAAAATATCTGACACGCAAATCATAACCCAATAAACACAATGTATCAAATTTGCAAGGAAAACACATAAAAAGAAAAATCTGTCGAACATACCTAGTACACGTGGCATGGATTTCATAAACATATTACTTTCTTTACTACAAGTAAAACAAGTATCAGATACTTATTAAAACGGACTAATAAATGAATAAAAAAATTCATTAAAACCTATAAATACAAATATTATCGCCATAGCAATGCGGAGAGAATGTTCGTCGGAATCTCAGTTGGTTGTCGGCGCGCGCTCGAAACGATTGTATCTAACCTCATACACGGGCGCTTTCCGATATCAACGGAACTTATGTTGTTCATACAATGGTGATACTGGCATGTTCTAGTGATTTTGTCTATGGAGTTACATAGTTCTTTTTTTAAACTGTTCTGTGTTTGAATTTGGAGTGCGTTTGTGTTAAAAGGTAAGGAGGCTGGATTTGTTTATTTTTGTTGTGTTTAAATTAGTTGTGAATATGTCGTTTATTGCTTTTGTTTGTTGATTTGTTTTACGGTAAATATAAACAGTGATTTAATTAATTAAATTTTAAAAATTAATCTTGTATAGATATGAAATCTTAAATTTAAATGCTGCGTTTATAAAAAACTCGAGTTTATTTTTGATACTGTAAATGCTTTATTAACAACACGTAATTTATATCACTGTAAATGAGCCCAAGACCTTAATTAATAAAACAAACTTACAAAAGCAATTTATATTTTAATGAAGACTGTCTGATACTTTAAAAATCTTTCTCGTTTTACCTTGAATGTTTTTATTAAGAAAAAAAAAATGAACAATATGGCTAAATTACGTTCCATTTAACGGCTATTATAACACATATCCTTTATTATTTTTTCCCCACAATTTGCACAGACAAACATGGCCTTTAATATTTTCGCAATCTGATACTAAAACAACATGGTGTTATCTTTTATATTAAAACATTTTACGATAACATGTTACATGTATCACAACTTCATGTTATGTGTAATGAGGTATAAAAATTCATATAATTAATTTTCGTATAGATATAATGAAACATCAGTACTCGAGTTTTGATTGATTGTTTTGTTCGTGATTGTGAAAAGTTTATGAATTTATTTAAACAGTTAGACAATTGAAATTTATTGGACAACGTGCATAATTATATTTCATATCATTATGTTTTCGGCTTACTCACGTAATTATTTGACACTCGACTAGTTTGCATACATGTAGCAGTGCGACAGTCGCCGCGTCGCAGATCGCGAAATATTGCTCATGAATATGAGCCTCTAGCATGGCTTGAAACTAGTCGAGTTCCTCGTCAAATAATTACGTAAGTAAGCCGAAAACATAATAATTTATTTAGTATGACTCACGAAAGTTATAATACAAATATTTCATACCTATTCTTGTTTCGGGTTTGTACACTATCTACCTATAGGTATGTGGAATTTACGCGGAGGAGTCTTCAATGCTATAGTAAAATATCTTGTGAAGTAATATTTCGTAGTGATCCAATAGAAAAGAACTTTACTATTGTCAAATACGTTCATTTGGCCCGGGTGTCATCACTGCGAGGACCGCCCTGAGAACACGGTGGAACACACAGTGGGAGAATGCCCTGCGTGGGCTGAGCACCGCCGTGCCCTCAGGGAAGTGATTGGCGATGGCGACCTCTCGCGTCCGGGCCTATTGCAGGCCATGATACGGAGCGAGGGAGACTGGGATGCCGTCTCCTCCTTTTGTGAAGCAGTCATGCTATTTCCGCCTTAAAAAAAATACGTTCATTTGACAATTAATAATCAATAATTAACTCGTCGAGTACCGGTTTTATAGACACAATTAAAGAACAATAGGTCGCGGTCACCGGTGACCGCTTGGTGTTTGACAGTTTAAAATGAGTGTTTATGAACAATTCTGACTTCTGATTGACAGTGTAGCCTTAAATAAACAGAAAGTAAGTTGTTGTAAAGATTCTTTAGAAAAATACATTAAGTGGTTTTTTCTGACGTGGACTACCTAAATATGGTAGCCGCCTAGCTTTTGGGGTTTCTATAGTTATGATAAAGGTTAAGTATGGAATATAGGATATGGGGTTCTTAGCACACAAAACATCAATCTGCTAACCTTCAGGGTTTAAAGGACCCGGTTTAAAGGACCCGGTGTCTTCTGAACATCAGCATTGGAGCAACTTCAGTAACGGCACATCCTTAAAGAGGCTCAAAAGAGACCTACACCTCCCCCTTGAGCCGCGTTGAGGAAGATACACACTCAATACCTATTTATTATTGTTACAATAAGTCGAATTTCGTTCGAATTAGTGCATTTCAAAACTTTTAAAGCTCCTCTAAAATACACCTAGGATTTTAAAGTATAAAAATACAATAATTTACATTTTGTCTAAGTATCAGTCCCAAGCCGAGACTATAACCTCAGCAGTTCTAGTGGTGAACATTCATGGACCCTATCAGGTTCCTTCTTTATTAAAAAGCTTCACGGTGTACGTAGCTGAAATAGCCTGAGATGACCGTTTGAACCAAATATCCAATATTAATGAAATTTGATAAAGGCCAATAAATAAAATTGGTCGCAATTAAGGCCTTTAGTCTCTGAATCGGGCAGATAATTAATTGTTTGTCTGTCAACAATAGTAAACAAGTTCATATCATACAAGGCACCTACTTAATTACAATGTTACAATACGGTCAAACTTAGTTTTATTCAAGTACCTAGTTACAAAGTTGGAAAGTTGTTTTAGGGAGTTACCACTTTAGGGTAAGGGTAGGGTGAAATGATAAATAATGAAACATAGGTGAGTAGCCTACACTGTTATTAATGAAACTTTAGTAGATATTCAGGAATCAGCAAATATCTCGAGCCTACTGAGCTAATGTTCACACTGCATCATTTGACGATATATGCATTTGAAACGACATACGCATCAAGCTTCCTTGTGCGTACTGCTAAGAAGTGGAATTCTTTGCCAGAGTTTGTATTTCCCGAGTGAAACGGTTGATTACGGGACGTCATGCTCCATCATAGACCACATCATCGCTTACCACTAGGCGAGATAGTGGTCAGACGTCGGCCCATCAACATAACATCACGCCTTTTTATCCGAAGGGGTAGGCAGAGGTGACATTTCAGCACTTAATGCCACTGTACAATGTAACACCCATTTTACACTATAATATGCTATGAGTCCCATGTAATAGGGGGTGAGCCTATTGCCAAAATTAAAAAACATTTCCGCTTTATGGACAGTTTTCTTTATTTCTAAGCAAGATGCAAGGATTCGTCATTTGTAGGCCGCCTATTGTGTGTGAACGATGCACGTATTCGTCAAATGACGCGACGTGGACAGTTATGTACCCTTAACACGATATAAAAGCTGTGTGGCGACAGCTAAGTAGAATATATTTATTTTGTCAACAGTCTTTGTAATGAACGTGATGATGGTGTAGGATGATGATGGCAAAGTGACAATAATTAAGTCAAAGTCAAAGCATTTATTTTAATTAAACCATAATTTGGTACTTTTGAAACGTCAACAAATATAAAATAAATAATAGCCTGTCAGTCAGTCCGTCAGTGAAGCTAGGTGAAGCTCATTGCTCACGTGCTCATTCCAAAATGTAGATTCGAATGGAGAAGAACGAGCAAGAAACTCATTAACAAAGTATGTTCTATAATATCTCTGATACATATTCCAATACTGTACGTATATATGAGAACAATGCAAAGACACGCTTGACGCATCATACTAATTACAAAACTTACTAAAATTAAAAAACAAAACAAAAAGAAATCTTATTGTCTAACATGTTCTCAACAGTTCAACAGTGGACTGTTATGATCTTGATTTCATTTTTTTTTTAATGGTTAGTATATACCCTAACATGGTATTTTTTTGTTATGGTATTCTTTGAAAAGATAAGACAAAGCTGTATTTTAGACTAACCGAGCTTTTAGTAGTACCTACATTATAAAAATCTGTCTGTCTATTGTTTCGAATAACAAACACGAAATTGGAAATACTGACGAGGAATTCGAAACGAAAATCTCGGTAACAAAATCCGATTAGGAGATTAAATTCAAAACACCAATTGAACAATCGCACTAGTAAATTTTCGACTAAATGAAGAATTTTGTTCGCATAATTTAGGTACAATACGATAGATCAACAACTATTTTAATTATTGCAATTGCTACTAAACATTATAAGGTATGTTGGGTCTATGGTTGCAACGTTGCAACAATGAGGTGGGGATGGTAGCAACAAAGTTAATTAGTCCATGAGTCAGTAACGTATATTATACCTAGTAATAAGCAATCTTTTTTTTTTGAGGGGGGAAAATCGTCGAATGACTGCTCCCGCCTGGGTGAGGCGGGAGGGAGTTTCACACTCTTACTGACTAAAAACCACCCCGTTCATTCTCCTGCACGTCGAGCCGGAGCCCCGGTTACCCGTTAGGTTCTCCGCGACAGTAATAAGCAATCTAAAAGCTTTATCTGTACTTATATTTTGAACTTGACACATTATAATTCTCTTCTTTATAAACCCAATAACAGGAACAAATATCAAAATGGATGAAGTGATGATGAAGATTCGTATATTATAGTAAAAATGATATTACTCCAAGAACACCTGTATTTTTCTTTTTTATGGGACAAGCTGGTAAACGAGCAGACGGATCACTTGATTGTAAGCAATCAGCGCCGCCCATGGATACCCGGAACACCAGGGGCATTACAAGTGCGTTACTGGTTTTTTAACCGACTTCAAAAAAGGAGGAGGTTATACGTTCGGCCGGTATGTTGCTTTTTTTTTTTTTTGTATGTATGTACGCGCATAACTCTGAGATGCGTGAAGCGATTTGCAAAATTCTTTTTTTGTTTGAATGGGTATACTCCCAAGATGGTCCCATTTCCATGAGGTCAGGATCTGATGATGGGATCCTAGGGAAACCGAGGGGAACTTTCGAAAATTCTATGGGCGAGTAGTGCGTCTATTATGTTTTTACCCGACTGCCAAAGAAGGAGGGTAATGTTTTTTCAATTACGATTTTTAAACACTACAATTTGATAAGGGTCTGGAGTCGACCTGATGATGGAGCCGACAGACAGTCGAGGGAACTCCTCAGCGGTTCATATTAACTACCTTGTGTTTGGGCTTGATTAATATGTATTGATAAGGACTTTACACCTAGATAGAGTTGGGCTGTCATTAAGGGTCTGATGATGAAGAAGTGTAATTGTTAAGGGAACTCCTCAACGGTATACAGTAACTACCTTGTGTTTGGGCTTAATTAATTTGTATTGATGAGGACTTTACATCTAGATAGAGTGGGGCTGTCATTAAGGGTCTGATGATGAACAAGTGTAATTGTTAAGGGAACTCCTCAACGGTATATTGTAACTACCTTGTGTTTGGGC